GCGATGCCAGGAGCCCCTAGTAGCGTCCTTGCTCCTAGTAGTAAGGCCAGGAGCCCCTAGTAGTGTCTTTGCTCCCAGTAGCGATGCCAGGAGCCCCTAGTACTGATGCCAGGAGCCCCTAGTAGCTGTAGACATCCTTCACTTCACGACATCCTAACAGAGGTTAGAGAACCTTATAGACTATCCCATAGGTACCCCAGAATGGTCCTATAAGGTCACTTAACCTCTCGTGGTCCTAACACTGCTTGTTGGTAGAGGAGAGTGCTTGTTTGTGGAAGGAAAAAGCTATATTTCGGTGACGTTTCCGATCGCAGTCCGCCGACGTTTGGCCATTGACCGACCACTTCGACAGCTGTTCGGCAAACAGCAAACAACAAGACGGCAAATCAGTTCGGAGAGTGGAAAATAGACTCTATGAACCCATTTGAAATTGGAACTCGTGATGAGACTCATAGCACAAAACGCGTGTGTGTTGTTCAGGTGGAAAGGTGCCTACGACCCATTGCGGTTTGTCAAGTGCTGTCGGGCCAATGATTTTTTTTGCAAAATTGAAGCAACCCACTGCGATTCGCTCACGTTTCTTGGGCGCGCAGCTGAACCTACAGTTGCCCAATGTCATGCAAGTGGGACATTCTTATCAAACACATGTTTTCCGAACTACGATATGACCACATCTGCTGCCTACTTGGGCAACGTGGCCAACAATCGTTGGTATATCTGCTGCTATGATGACGGTTCCTTGCTCCGACCACGACAGGTAGTCCAAATAGAACCATGGTTGCGGCGACCAAAACTGCAAAGCACCGGTCCGCTGGGGCACGGCCTTCGGGTTTGAAGTGTTTCTCACGGTGGAGGGCACCCTTGATTTCCCCCTCTACTTTCATCCGCCGTTGATGGAGGGCACCGTTTGTTTCCTAGGTCCTAGGTTTTTGATGGGGACCCTCATGTTTTTTGTAAGACAAACAGTCAAACATGTTTAGAAGGATTTTTGGACATGTTGGGTTTGAACAACTGCTTTCCTACATCGCCATCGGGGCTCCAAGATATGCAGAAACCGCGGTGTGGGCGGATGAGGACCCGATGGGTTGTTGACCCCGCATGGTGCACACGACACGGCATGGTGCGTTTTATGTGGTGGCTCGGCCGGGCGCCGGACCCGGGGCTCGGCCAGTCTCAGACGGATTCCACTAGCTGAAGGAAAACGGTGTGAAACATGGGGCCAAGTTGCATCGTTGTTGCATGCTGGTGAGCACTGCCCATGGTCAATGAGAATGTAATTGTTGAGAAAACACTTGGCATTTGTGTTTTTGAGTCGTTGGGGCTTCTGCGCCCTTCTCAATATTATATCCCCAACCCTCAACCCCTTCAACTCCACCAAATCCGAAACAGCCGCATCGGTTGGGAGGCTGTATGTCCAGCTCCACGCTTGAGCAGGGGCCAAAGGAGGATGGCAGCGACGACAAGGAGGAGGAAATTCACCGTGACGCTGGCTCGCAGCCTGGGTGTGCAGAGATTCTGTGAATGGGGAGATTCCGTGACATGGGTCATACTTCTCATACTTCCGTATCATTTCAAGTACATAAGTACATTTTTTGGTGGACCCGTTGAATGTTGGCTTGGGTGGATCTGTTTCTATTTTTGCTCACAGCCGACTCCATCCATCTCCACACCGAGCTGAGCACGAACAGTGCTCTTCTGTGGAGGCCGTGGGCGAGCTGAGCACTTGGATGTCTCGTGGCGAGAAAACTGGACGATCTGAGCAATCGTAAAGGATCTGATCTGAGAGATTAGAGAGAGCTGGGTACCCCAATGTCTGTATTTTTTGAGTCACCTTTCTTTTCATGACTGCTTCTTGCACATGACATACTGCAGTCACTTAGGCCATACCAGTGAGGAGGCGGCTGGAAACAGCTGTTGTTGTGATCTCCTGGTTTGCGCTGAACATCTCAATTGCAAGCTCCACCAAGTGGATTTTTGTGAAGGGCAGCATCTGCATTGAGGTGGGCTGCTCGTGGGCCGAACCCATGTCACACCTTTAGCAGAAAAAGGATCCACACCCGAACCCGGTAGACCAGTTTAACGAGTGCATATTTATACTTATAAGAACGACTTTCACTGCATGACTCTGCACGCCCGCTCTCCGATCACTTTTGGTACACTTCCTCCGATCATCGTCGCTTCCAGGCAGCCGACATGGTGTTTCACGGGTGTTTCACGAGTGTTTCACGGGTGAATCACGGGTGCATCACGGGTGCATCACGGTGAATCACGGTAAATTCTAGTCTCCAATCAAGTTTAACTAGTCTCCAAGCAAGTTTAACTAGTCTCTAGTCAGGGTCCGTTCATGGTGAATCACGGGTGGATCACGGTACGGCCAACTAACGTTTTCTTGAACAATATGGGCTAGAAGTATATAAGTATATAATTTTTTACTCCACAATCACTCCTAGGTACTAATTTAAAGGTGGTTAGAGGTGGCTAGAGACAAGTCAAGTACGATCTTTAAAAGTAAAATACATTCATGTGAGTGAATTTGTTATGAACAAGTTTAACGCGTACTTTGCTTCATAGGGACAGAAAAGTATCTCTGTGTAGCGTTGTATCGGCATAGGACTTAGTTTTGAACAAACAGTCGCCTGTATCGTCTTTCGTTGATGAGTGAACCGGATGATCCTTCTTCTTCACGTTCATGTGCAGGACAAGGGTTGCGTGCCGTACAAGTTTCCGGTGGCGATCACCGTGCCTGTCCCAGCGCTCGGCTGGTTTGGCGAGTGGAGGAAAGATCCAACCAGACCTCTTTCTTTCTTTTCTTTCTTCTTTGTTTCTAATAGCAATGGCCTCCAACCTAATAGCGATGGCCTCCAACCTAATAGCGGCCTCCAACCTACTTGTATTTGGTGTTTCTCTTGTTTCTCTCTTTTTGTGTCTTATTGTTTGGCTGTGGTGCTTGGTGGTTCATGGTTGTGGTCGTGCAGCGCCCTATCAAAGGCAGAATCATAGACCCTTGGGGTAGGCAAAACAAGAGTGCTGACCGTGGTTCTGCATCGTGTCACTTGTCCCTCAGTCTCTGACAACACTTGTAGAACAGTTTGCAGACTATTCCTCTAAAATTAGAGTTTCCTTTCCAAAAGGAGTGGACCATGGACACCCACCCCTACCCTTGCATAACGAAACAAGAATAGACCCCCTCATGTCACTTGCTGCACTTTGGCGTCCTCGAGTTTTTTTGTTTTCTCTTGAAACAAACGAAAGGCTTTCGAAGGCGAAGGTCGCTGCGCTTCCGGTCGCTGCGCGTCGCGCTTGCTCTGCTCTTTCTTCGGAAAACGAAGAAGAACCGGTCGATTCCGGTCGATTCGTCTTTGCTTGGTGCATCTCTGGGCTTCAGGGATGTGTGGTTTCATTCACCTCTGGTGATATCGTTTTTCCAATCTCTTTGGGTCATTGGTCCTTTCTTTTCGTCTGCAATTCTTTCAAAACCACCTCCTTTTTTGGCCGTCTTGGGTGACTGAAAAGGAGGAGGTCTCGCACGAAATGCTCGTTTTGAAGGCTTGACAGGTCATTTCTGGAGGAGTCTCGCACAACATGCTTGTTTTGCAGGCTTGACATGCAAGAGTGTAAGATTAAGAATGCCTTGCAAGAGTGGCCTAGAAGGGTGTCCCACAAGACCACAAGAATGTCTTTACAAAAACACTTCTACAAGAGCGTTCCTACAAGAGTGGCGCACAATAGAGTCTTAAAAGAGTGACCTGACACGAATGTTTCTACAAGAGTTACAAGAGTCACAAGAGTATCTTTAGAAGAGTGCCTCAGAGTGTGTCACAAGAATGTTGTCACAAGAGGGTGCTTTTGTTTAGTTGTTTGCTTTTGCAATCTTTTACCTACATGTCATTCGGGTTAGTGGCCTTCATCTTGTTTCAGAAGTCTGCTGCAGGTTTTTCATCCACGATCCTTTCTGTTTTGGGTGTGCAGTTTGGTTCTGCAAAGCTTGTTTTCTGATGAGAAGGTGTCACAGCAGTGCGAGGTGATTCACATGATCTTTTCCTGGATGCTGTGCCGTTTCTACATTTTCCATGTGCGAGGCTGGCAGGGCAGCAGTCTTGAATGATGTGTTGCTGATCAGTCACGTTTGCATCTAACTTGCCTGTCAGCTGAACCCATAGGTGATACGGCAATTTGTGGCAGTTTGACCTCACGGAAACAAGTGAACAACCAATTCTTGTGTAGCGAAGTAACACTTCAAGAGTATTTGGCAATTCTGCCATGGTCAGTGGCACAATATGTTCTCGTTTCATGATGTCTGCCCGCGAGGTTCTGCGTGAGATAGATTGGTAAGAAGGCTGAACTATTTGTGAAAGACTCGACCCTGTTGAAGGGAAGATACTTTTGCACAATAGTGTTAACATCTCCAACTTTCAAGATCAGAGACTCTTTTGGCAAGGCGTGACAACTCTCTCTCTCTCTCTCTAGCACGAAGGCGCCTATGGCGCCTTCGATGCGAACGCCGCTAGGTGATGAGAAGGCTGTCTTAAGCTGTCAGCAGCAGCTTCAAGAGATCATGCCCCTATCAATCTGCTTCGCGCTGTCAGTGGCCATGGGAAATCTGATTCTCGGACCAAACGACAGGAGAGACAGGAGACTGGAGGCTGCTTGTCACTTTGATGCGTAGAAGTGAAACCTGTTGTGGAGAGCTGAAACCAGGTTGGTTGCGCTTGTCGTTTATTCTTTTTGGTGTGCATATTCGCTGGATGGGTTCATGGGGGCAGTATTCTTTGATTCGGTAGGTATACGTTTGGTGGTGTTCTTTTTTGCTGTTATGAATGAGGGTTTGCCTTCTCGATCAAGAGGCCACCGAGAGTAAGACAATTCATACAAGACAGGGCTCCTGGAAGAGATGAGTAGCCCTTTCAGGGCAGGGGAACTCTGTTATACAAGATATTCTTTTTGCCAGGGGGTTGATGGAATCATCCTTGCAGATACGAACCTGTGTAGTTTCTGGTTTGAGGCCCAAGTTGCTGAAGGTAGCTGTTTCGATGGAGATGAGCCTGGGTCCAGTGGTGTTGATTTCCTCTTCAGGAGGATGTTCTGAATTTTCTCTGCTTGGCTTCCTCCCCAAAGCGTGGGTTAAAGGACAGGTCAAACAGCATCTTCATTTGCCCATCCGAGAAATGTGCTCCACTCCTCAACCCCCGTTTTGACTGCTTTTTCCCGAGCAAAGTCGGTGATTTTTTTGGAGATCTCCTGACCGGTTGGTTCTGGTTTCTTTGCAGGAGCTTGTGGTTTCTTGGGTGGGGGGACGGGGGGCCTTGGGGTAATCCTTTGAGGTCTCTGAGAGGTTTGTCTTTTCCACTGAGAGGATGCTCGTCTTTTTGCTTCACGTGCTCGTCTTCTTTTCTTCTTTTCCTCTGTCAGCTGAAGAAGACTGTAGCCAACAAGTGCAGTGAATCTACCTGGTAGCAGTTCTTACTTCAAGTACAGGAAGAGGTGTTTGTGTGCGCTTTGGAGCTTGGGTGCTGGTGCCGCTGCAGGGTGCTGCTGCGAGATGTCGATGGCCGTGTGTGCTTTGGAGCCTGGATGCTGGTGCCACTGCAGGGTGCTGCTGCAGGGTGCTGCTGCTGCCGCCTCTATACTGCTTCCAGATGTTCATGGCAAAGTCTAAGAAATGCCAATGCAGAGCTGCCGCTCCAGGTTGCTTCTGCGAGATGTGTGTGGTTGTGTGCGCCGTGGAGCTTTGGTGCTGTTGCCGCTGCACCTTGCGGTTGCAATGTGCATACACATGGTGCTTTGGAGATGGTCAACTTCAAAAAGGTCTTCCTGGGTCGTAGAAGACAAGACAGACAAAACATCTGGAATGCTACTTTCCCAGAAGTGACAAGAGATGCTGAGGTTCTTTGATAGGATTCTTTGATTGGAATGGGTGCCTGTGTGTTGGTGTTGCTGCAGGCCCGTTTGTATGGCTCGTGTGCGCTTTGCAGCCTGGGTAGTGGCGCCGGCTGCCAGGTGTGCATGACAATGTGGGCTGCGTGCGGGGCCGCTGCAGGGTGCCGTTCCAAGGTGTATGGCCGTGCGCCCTTGGGAGCTTGGGTGTTGGTTCCGCTGCAGAATGCCGTTGCCAAATGTGCATGCGGTGTGCGCTTTGGAGCGGTTGCTGCCGCTGCAGGGTGCTCGTGCCAGATTCAGATTTCCATGGCAGTGTGCCACTTGATGTGCGCTTTAGAGCTTGGGAGCTCGTGCCATTGCAGGGTGCCGTGCCAGCCACATGTTTGTGCCCTGTGCGCTTTGGAGTTTGGGTGCTGGTGCTAACGCAAGGTGCTGCTGTGCGGTGGCTGCTTCCATAGATGCCTACGGGAACTTGGATTTTGGAGCTGGCAGTGCGCGATTTTGAGTATGGGTGCCGGCGTCATGCAGCCTAAAATATCTTTTGCTATCTTGATCTATGCTGGCGTAATTTGATCCTGCAGGGCTGCAGGCGCCCAGAGTAACATATTGCAACATGACCCACAGCTTGGCACAAAGACCACTATTGATCCAGTCCACTGCTCACAGGTCCTTGAAATACATTTATCCGTCTTTCAATCAGATGCTTGGTTCGGTGCCCCAGTCGGGCACCAATTCACAGCGGCACGGGGTAGCGATCAGGGAAACCAATGAACATCCGTGGATCAAACGCGGCGGTCTGGGTGGCTGTGTGTGTTCTTTTTTTACATGGTTGTTTGGGTGGCGCACTTCGCCAACGCGCCTTCCTTATGGGTCCCACATTGCATATTCGTTGAGCCCTTTTTGGGATGTCGCGCACGGCAGGGCGACCCACGTTTGCCGATGTTTTTGAACCCAATTTTGTGGGGACCCAAAGAAGGCGCCTGGAACCAAGGGGCGGGTGCCGTGTTTCTTGGGGTCTGTTTTTTTTTGATGGCCCCAGCCTCCTTCAGGCTCCATGTCTCCGCTCATCACGGTGTTGTTGGCCGTGTTCTTCCAGCAGAAGCGCTTCTCAATGAAGACCTGGCTTTCGATGCCGGTGATCTGTATGGGTTTGGCCATGTGCAGTGTAAAGGAGGGGTTTGGGATGGGAGGCTTTGAGGATTGTTCTGTGGAACACAAGTAGGCTTTGGTATTGGGGCTGGGCACCTTTTTCCTGAGCCGAGGGTGGTCTTAACAACAATCTTGAATGGACATCTCTCGGGAGGTTTTCTTTCGACTTAAGTCGCTTGCAACAGCACACTGGTCCGTCATCGGTCCTCCCTTAAACCTTCTAGTTTTCTCTTTCCTGACCTTGCCAAACAGTTTACCCGGAGTTGGCCAGTGCACCGGAAACAATCCTGAAAACCGCCAAAAATAACACCGCCGGACCGCGCGTGACGCGCGCCGCGCCGCGTCTGGCAGGAGTTGAACTTCAACGTTCTTGGCGCGTTCTATGCCACGGGCGCCACGGTCTTGCGTGCCGTGAAGAGTTTGATCCAAGGGAGGCCGCAAAGCGTCGCCGCGGAGCGTCGCCGCGGAGCGTCGCCGCGGAAGAAGTGGAGGGGAGGGGCGCTCCATGTGCCGGAGTCGGGGTGGTTGGGTAGCAAAGCCAGTGGTGTAGAGGGAGTGGCTGTGGAGCTATGGGGCTGCCTGACTTCCGGATGATAGTGGCTGATGTCTGCTGCTGCTGTTGTTGTTGTTGTGGTGGTGGTGGTGGTGGTGGTGGCATTGGCACATGATGGTGCCAGGAATTGAGTTCTCAGATTGACAATAGGTCGTCAATGCACAGTAGTTGGTTATGTAACTACTCGAGTTGCTCTTCTCCACCTTTCATGGCAAGCGATCTGCAAGCTCAGTAGGCTAGCTCAACAGCTCGCCCCGAAAGAAGGTGGAGAAGCTTCCCCTGACAAACGTCTTCACGCTTGGAAGCCGCTAGAGTGCGCTCCACACTGCTCCGCAGCACTCAGAACCACCTCAACCTTCCTCGAACCCCCCCTGCACTGATGCCTTTCTACGGCGATCCAGGCTGCTTTCGCCATCCCACAAGTTGGACTCTGCAGCTTGGAAGGGGATGATGGTTTCATTGGAAGCAATAGAGGCGCATCATTTGTAGATCTGTCTTTCGACCAGTATGGGATTCTGTGGGCTGATATGAATTCGTGGGACGACAACACAGAATGTGAAACACAAATATCCCCGGACCCCATTTGACTGGGTCCGGGAACATGGAACAACCAGTGCTCAATGAAGTCATTCGGAGCAGGTTTAACTTGGCCCTTGGATTTGTAGGCTATGAATGACTGCGTTGAAAAGAACGCTGCTCATCCAAGGTATCTCTCCTGCCAGAATCTCAGATTGCATCACTGCGCCTTTTTGCAGGGCTGGAAGGTGGACCATGACCACCATGACCATCGGCCAACTGGAGCACTACAGAAGATGTCAAACTCTTCGATTGTTTTTTTGGCTTATCATAATTGTTGAGGAGGACAGCTGTATGTGGCATCTGCTAAGATCACACTTACGCTGGTCACTAGTCAGTGTTGCGTCAACGAATCTGTTTGTTTGTTTGGTTGCTTGGTTGTTTGTTTGTTTGTTTGGTTGGTTGGTTGGTTGGTTGGTTGTTTGTTTGGTTCTTTGGTTGTTTGGTTCTTTGGTTGTTTAGTTCTTTGGATGTTTGGTTGTTTGGTTGGTTGGTTGGTGGGTTGGTTGGGTTGGTTGGTTGGTTGGGTTGGTTGGTTGGTTGGGTGGGTGGGTTGGTTTGGTTGGTTTGGTTGGTTTGGTTGGTTTGGTTGGTTTGGTTGGTTTGTTTGATTGGTTTGGGTTGTTTGATTGGTTTGGTTGGTTTGGTTTGGTTTGGTTTGGTTTGGTTAAGTTTGGTTTGGTTTGGTTTGGTTTGGTTTGGTTGGTTTAATTGTTTTGGTTGGTTTGGTTTGTTTGATTGGTTTGGTTGCTCTGGTTTGGTTTGGTTTGGTTGTTTGGTTGTTTGGTTGTTGGGTTGTTTGTTTGTTTGTTTGTTTGTTTGTTTGCTTGCTTGGTTGGTTGGTTGGTTGGTTGGTTGGGGTTGGGGTTGGGTTGGGTTCGGTTGGGTGGGGTTGGGTTCGGTTGGTTGGGGTTGGTTGGTTGGTTGGGGTTGGTTGGGGTTGGTTGGGGT